ACTCGGCCAGCGGGGAGCGGGACTGATCCGGGCGCACACAGATCCCGGGGCCCTGCCCGACCCCCGCAGGGTCCCGGTGAAGCACGAGCAAGTCCAGCCCCAGAGATTCGATCCCACCCCGGCTCCGTCCACCCCTTCGCCTGGTTGCGAACTGTCTGGCTGGTGGACACACTGATGCAGTGTGAGTGTATCTACCAGCCAGGCAGTTTGCAACTACGTACGGATACTCCTGATAATAATAAAACTTCCTTAATTAGAAAATACCCAACATTTTATATGTCCAGTATTTTCTCAATTTGTTTCCTGAACAGAACCCTCAAGTACCAGACTGTCAGTTCTAAACCGGACACCTGGCAGCCCTTTATTTCTGGGGGCCTTGTGAGTTGATTTTATTCACTCTTAGAATGTTCAGCCCAGTTTCCGTATACTTCAGTACAGGTGGGTGAGTTCTCCTGGGACCAGTCCGGTGTGTGGTATTTCCAATGGTTGATTTGGGGCTACAGCCAGATTACTACTGGAATACGTTGATTCCTGGAGGCTCCTAGGGCACCCCATTCAGTGTGTGCAGGCCCAGCCAGGTGGCGGCACCACCCTATTATACTCCTTTAGGAGTCAAGGGCTGCAGCAAGGGGGTGGAGAGGACCCTCGACGATCCCACATCACCCCTGGGGTACTCGGGGTCTCCTGTAACATGAAGCAGGCAGCGAGGGGCAACTGGTGGGGAGGTGTGAGGCGGAGCCAGCAGAGCCGTGGCAGCGAGGGGCAACAAATGGTCAGCAGGGCCGCACCAGAGAGCATAGAGTCAGTGGATGACAAGTGACCCGCAGAGTGGGTGAGATGCCTCCTACCCTCCTCCCTCCCCCCTCCCCTGAGAGCCGGTGGATGACAAGTGACCCGCAGAGTGGGCGAGATGCCTCCTACCCCTCCTCCCTTACCCCTTCCCCTCCGATGGGAGGAGAACTCTGCAGATCACCTCTGAGCTCTGGTCTGCCCTGACCAAGGGCCGTGACTAAGGGGGGTGCAGAGAAGGGTTGGGCCTGTGAATGGGACACTTACATTGCTGGACTTGAGAGGACAAGGACATTGCCCAACTCATTTGAGTAGGGACGGTCACTCGTGGGTTTGTGTGAACTCTGTGGACTGTGTCTGTGGTGTTTTCCTGTGGACTGTGTCTGTGGGTTTTCCAAAATCAATGCCATGTTACTGCTCTCCCTTTGTATTAAAAGTTTCTTTTCCACACTCGGACTCTGTGTGTGCGAGTGGGGAAGCACTGCCACTCAGAGGTGCCCAGGGGTCTGTGTGGATTTCCCAGGCTACTGGTGGGGGCTGGAGTCAGTTCTGTGTTGGATGGATGGAGAGGAACCCAGCCCTGGCTGCTGCCGGCGCGACCTAGCAGAAGGTTATATATAAAACAGTGGAATTCTGCTCAGCCAATGTGGATTACCTCAGCACTGTTAGTTTTGGCACCAAACTAGCAATCTCCTTTGCAGCAATGAATCCAGGTTTCCTACGTGCTAGGTTGCTGTCCCGCGGATGGGGCTGGGGGACGTGCTGTGGTGCCAGCTCTCTCGGTCTCTTCTGGTGATGCTGTTCCACATCGTACGAATCGGGGACGTCTCCTCGGCACACTGTGGTGGTGTCGCTCTGCCGGCGTGGGAGGCTCATGAGGAGCGGATCCCGGCTCTCTTGCCAGACCAGCAGCGTTCAGGCCGACCTTTGGGTGAGAAATAGCCCGTTAGACGGGAGGGAATTTGTTAATCAGTTCAGGCTCTAGGTGGTGATTTATAGTTGTCTTTTATCTGTAATCGTACGGTTCCAAGCCTTAAACTGAGGACTGACAAGAAACTCTGCTGGGCCCTGGGAAGAGGCAGCTCTGAGCTGCCCTGAAGGGGCGGGGCCACAGGGAGAAGGGGTGGGGCCACAGGGAGAAGGGGCGGGGCTGAGGGCTAAGGGGCGGGGCCTCAGGCAGAAGGGGTGGGGCTGAGGGCGCTGTTAGGGCTACAGAGGATACTGGGGGGCAATTTGAAGGGCCCGGGGCTCTAGTCGCTCCAAGGAAGCAGTGGCCATGGCCAGGAGTCACTAGTCCCCAGGGCAGCTCCCCACTCCTCCCCAATCAGCGGCCCTGCGTAGACTTGTCCTCATTGGAATCTTTATGTGGAGCCGTGTCAGACAGACGTCTGTTGGGTTTCATGCCAGACACAGCTGAGGGCCGGGGCTGAGGCGAGGGCCAAAGCGGGGGGAAGCTCATGAATGGAGGGTGCTGCTGGCAGGGAGACAGTGAGAGCATGCCCAGAGGCTGAGAGAAACGCCCAGGGTGCACAGACGGGAGGGTGGGACCTGTTCCCCCAGCCAGAGCTGGGCTCAGAGGGAAGATGTCTCTGCAGGCCCCTCCCAGGAATCTCTCCTCTGCATCTGGCATCCAGCAGGGGGTCTGAGGGTAACCCTGAACATCACCCAGAAAAGGGCTCCTGGGGGGGAATCCTGGGCAGATGGAGGAGACTAAATCCCTTAGGCCAAACCCCTCGGCTCAGCAGGCTGGCTTCTGTGGGTCCCACTCTCAGCTCCTCCTCTCTGTGCGTTGTTCGGGGAGCCCAGGCACACAAAGCTGAGCTTTGCCAGGCCAAGTCCAGCCCAGAGGGTTTTTTTTTCCCAGGCTCTGTCCATGAGCCAGTGGCCAAGCAGAGAGTAGATATGAAGAACACTGTCTTTTCCCTCCCCTATGCTATAACCACTAGACCATACTCCCCAGTCTATGGAACCAGGAGTCCTGATGCCCAGCTACCCCCTGCTCTAACTGCTAGATACCACTGTCCTCCCAGAGCTAGAACCCAGATCTGACTCCTGGTCTGCAGTGACCTAATCCCCTAGACCCCACTGCCTTTCATGGAAGGAACCAGGGATCCTGATTCCCAGAATTCCCATTGGTCTCCCCATACACCAGCCACTAGGTACCCCCCTCTGTTCCGTGGAACCCAGGAGTCCTGGCTGCTGGCTCAAAGCCAGGCATTGTACCCAAAGAGTCCAGTCTCCCACTTTGACTTCCTACCCACTAGGCTACACTGCCACTGTTCCACATCTACCTGGCAAGTCCACTAGGGTTGTCAGGCATCTACTTTTAAACTGGAACACCTGGTCTGCCCCTTCCTGCACAGTATCCCCCTTCCCCACCCTACACCTCACATCCCCATCCCCACCCCCACCTATCTCCCTGCCCCAGGTCAGAACCTTTTCCTGCACTCTATTCCTCCCAGAGCCTGCACCCCAATCCCTCTCCCCACAGGCCCACCCATCCTCTTGCCCCAGATCAGAGCCCCTTCCCAGACTCCAGCCCTCCATCCAAACCCTCTCCCAGGAACCCTCTCCAGCACCCAAACCCCTTCTCAGCACCTGCCCCTTACTGCTCCCACGCACCAACCACTTAGTCCCCAGCCCAGAGACCCCTTCTGCCCCCTAAACCTTCCAGCCGCTCCCTGGGGCCCTCCTCCCACATGCCAACCCCCGGATCCAGCTCAGTAAAGGTGAGTGAGGGTGGCAGAGAGAAAGCAACAGAGGGAGGGGATGGAGTGAGTGGCAGGTGGGGTCTCAAAATAGTTTGAAATAGTTATTTCAAAATAAGGCATGTGTAGATGCTTGTAGGGGTAAACTGAGGCAGTCAATGGTATTTTGCTAAGAGCCCCTATTTAATCCTAAATTTGAGACAGGCCTGGGAATACACAGCACAAGCAGTTAACATGACCCTGGTCGTCCTGGCAACCACATTCCAAGAGGGCCTCACTCCGATAAGACCCTGGCTGGTACCAAAACTAACTTTATGGAAGTTGTTCTCACTGTCTCTGTGACGGATTTACGGGTGCGAGCACCTCGCGCCCCCTCTTTTTGGCTCAGCGTAGAGCCGGGGGCGGGGCTCCGCGGACCCACCGCCTTCTTTATTCTCCTTGTCCCCAGCCCCCTGGGCTTGTTGACAGGGCCGCCCAGGAAAGGGGTGCGATCACCTCTCGACCAGGGATGGCCGAGAGGGTTCAGCGAACCCCGAGTTCAGGCCCCCTTCTCCAGCCGGGGGGCGGGGGGGTGTCCGTGGTGTCTCTGGGGG